CCACCACCACCTCCTCCAGGTGGTCCCCCACCACCTCCTGGCCCCCCACCCCTGGATGGGGTGATGCCTCCCCCTGGAGCACCTCTGGGCTTGGCCCTCAAGAAGAAGAGCATCCCACAGCCAACAAATGCCCTCAAGTCCTTCAACTGGTCCAAGCTGCCAGAGGTAAGCCGGGCAATAACTGGGGCAGTGAAACCAGAGGTGCCAGAGGGCCACTGGTGATGTGAGGGCAGGTGGGCAGGAGACCCCCAGCCTGCAGTTCTCCCTCTGTCTTGCAGAACAAGCTGGCAGGCACCGTCTGGACTGACATAGATGACACAAAAGTGTTCAAAATCCTGGACCTCGAAGACCTGGAGAGGACGTTCTCTGCCTACCAAAGACAGCAGGTAGTGGCTGGTGCTGGGTGCCAGCAGGGATCTGGGTGAGGTGCTGCCTTTACAAGATCACCTGGTTTCACGTGTGGTCTCAAAACACATCTCCTATCATCATTTCATACCAACGCCGTGCTTGCCAGATCAACCGGGTCTGGTTTATCCTCTCATCCGTGTGCTGGTGCCTTTGCACTGAAGCAGCCTCTCAGAGCTCAGTGAGCCAAATTTCCCCCTGCCCACGCACCTGACCGTGAGAGTCATGAAGATGGGTCACAAAAAAATAAAGCAAAACCAAAAGAAAAGAGACAGGGAGTGTTTGAAAATAGCCCCCAGATGTGGCCACAGTTGGGTAATATTTTTGGATCGCTCTTAACAGCAACTGCTTCATGTCTCTGTATTGGGTGGAAAATTTCTATCCCTCTCTGGCCAAGAAGGACTAAGTTTTGCCCACATCTACCATGGGTGGATCTCTTCTTTTATTTTTGTAGCGAAGCCCAGAGCAAAATGTGAGCTTTGAACAAAAAAGCAAATCCCAAACCAAAATAATGACACTGCAGGCAAAAATCTCTGCTTTTTAATCTCCTGCTCAAGCAGTATGGCTCCAGTTTGGAAGGCATCAAAGCACACAAAGAAAATTAGACACTTGTTTTACTCCGGGCAGGACCACGATAGGCAAAAGCAATGAATTTTTCAAGAAGGCAGGAGAAAAAGCAAAGAGAGAGGCTGAACAAGTCATGTCCACCTACTGAACATCTGGCTGTGGCACCGGGAGGAGAGAACAGGTTGTCCCACTCCTGTCAGGCTTGGGTGGAGCGACGGTGCCAGGAAGGAGTGGACCCAAAGCATAAGCTCTTTAGGCAATGTGTTTAATCTCTTCCAGAGGCTAATTGAGGCAAAGACCAGGGTGGATTAGAGTAGGGCAAATATCAAAAGCAACCCACCAGAAGTACATGCTGCCCTGGTGTCAGTTTTAGGAATAGGTGACCGCAGTGCTGGCTCTTTTCCCCATTGCTTTTGGAGCTTGACTCATGCCTACTGAAGGGCACGTCTGCAGACAAGATGGAAATGGAAGGGAGGCAAGAATAGAAACGTGGTGTGTCAGCAGGACGGTTTGCCCTCTGGCTTTCCTGCCCCAGCCCGTGAATCACCCGGTGTGCTGTGGATTTGCCAGGCAGGAATTTAAAAATAATTTGGCTCAGCTAAGATGCTGCTGGGGCTGGAGCCACCCTTGGGAGCCTGATGCATGAGTTCCCTGTGGCTCATCCAGGCTTCGTGGTAGCCCCGTTTGTGCAAGTTAAGTGCTGGGACACGTCTCCCTGGACCTGAAGGCTGTGATTGCTCACCCAGGAGTGCACAGTGTGCCCCTCTTGCAGCCCTGGTGTGGGGAGGGGGTCCCTGGCCTGTCGGTGCCCCGGCACTGCTGGCAGCACACAGCACGTGGGGTTAGAGATGCTCCTTGAGACCAGACCCATGCCGTGGGGCACTGCACACGCCGTGGGGGGCTGGGGGAGCTCTGTGTAAATGGCCTGTCCCTGCTGGGAAAGAGGGTGAATTAATGCCTTAAAAATTTGTGGTGATTTTGAGCTCTAGCAAAAGTTGATTTCTGCTCTGAGCAAGCAGGGGAGGAGCAGAGAGTCCTCCTTCCTGCTCTGTGTCTTCAACCCTTGGCTGAAAATCACTACCTTGGTGATTACACTTCTCACTTGTCCTCAGACACAGTGTGGGACATCAGAGGCTGCCTGTCCGTGCCCTGAGCACACAAGGGCTCCAAAGTGGCGTGGCCAGGTGGTACATCCCTGCGGCCAATGTCCCAGCAGGGTCCGGGGGCAGCGTGCAGAGGTGTGGGTGGTGCAGAGCACTCTCAGAGCCCTCACGAGCAGTGGTTGTGGGGCTGCTGTTGACGGGAATTGGTTATTTTTATTGCCTGGGAATCCCTAAGCAGTGCACAGACATGAGACCTAATGAAGTACTTAATTTTAAGCATCTCTTTAAATGCTTTTCCCACATCACAGGCTGGGATGTAAATGCAGGCTATAAAGGGAGCTCTGCAGCTCTCGGGAAGGGACCTTTCCACATGGGCAGGGCAGGAGCCCTCTGGGCTTCCTGAGGCTCAGCCTGGCAGCATCCCTGCCCCGTGCTGCTGGGTGAGCGTGTATCCTTCCTGTCCTCCCTGCCAAGGCTCTGCAGATTTCCCCATCCTCAGCGCAGGGCTCAGCCTCACAGCTCTGTGTGATACCAGTGTTTACCAATCTTGCTAGATCTAAGAGAAAAACCTGCAGGAGCTCTGTGTTTCAGGCTGGGGTGTGACGACCCAGCAGGACTGGAGGCAGCTGCTTAAGGACACGCATATGGTGATGGAGAAAAGCAAGTGTAGGACCATCAGGGCTTAGATGTGCTATGCAAGGATCTGCACCTCTGTCAGAGATGCTGGGAGAGCCTGCAAGGAGAAGAGGATGGCAGTGCTGCTGATAAGTGGCAGTGACCCTGCTGGGGCAGCCCTGGCAGGTCCTGCAGCAGTGAGTGGTGTCAAAGAGCCAGGGCCAAGTGGAAAATATGTGTTGTTGAAGCAGAGGCTTAGCAGTGAGCTGGGCAAGAAATCATCTCCCAAAAAGGGATGAAAGAAGAAAAGCCTCCAGCTCCTCCATGCAAGCAAGAATGACCTGTGCAGGGGCCAGGGGCAATGAGGGGGAATGTTTATGGGGGCGTTGACAAAGCATTTAAAGCTACTCCTTAAACCCCATCCTGCAGCAGAGGCTGGATCACGCTTCATGCAAGGGAAAGGGGAAGGGGTGAGGCTGATTTGAGGCAGAGAAGGAGGGGTTTGTAACAAGTCTTTTCTCTACCTTAATGCATGAGGATCCCTCCCTCTCCTGGAGCAGGAGACTGCAGGAGGGCCACCGCATCCTTCTGCTTTCCATCAGCATCCTTCTCCTCTCCTTCACAACCCTGACTGATCCACAGGGTTAATTCTGCCTTTGCAACAGCCTCATCCCAGCTAAAATCATACAGTTATTTTCATCTCAGCTCTCTGAAGCTCAGCAGCAGCAGTGGGGTTGTCCTTACTTGGGCTCTGCAGGTCCCCTTTGCCTTGCAAAGCCACTGGTATGGTGGCATTTCCAGAGCTCTGTTCCTAGGGATGTCTGTGGCACCTCTTTGATACATTTCTAGGCAGATGGGTGCAATGCTGCCTCGGGGAGCTGCTGGGCACAGCACTGTGCTGAGGTGCCCACACTGCACCCCACAGGCACCCACCCCTCTGCTGAAGAAACGGTCTGTCACACCTTTTCTTGGCTGATGGTTATTTGCATCCTGGCACGTCTTGTTCTGCTTCTTGGCTGCAACATTTCTGCAGGCTTGAGGAAAGCCTGACACATTGGTTTTTAGCCATGAGGCTTGTGGTTGGCATGGCTCAGCCCCCAGTGGGTTGCCAGTCCCTCAGACCTGGGTGTTCGGTGGCATCTAAAAGAGCCCTTTCCACCCACCCAGAGCCACGTGTGGCTCCTGGGCTGATCCAGCCTCAGCAGCCGGTCAAGGGAAAGCCTACATAAACAAGGATTCTTTTAAAAAAGCAGCAGTGATGGGGCTGAGTTTGGGGTTGACCAACTCAGAGCAGTCAAGTGGGTCATCAGTCACCTCCATGCGGAGGGGCTGGAGGGAAGCACTCTTGTAAACCAACTGCACTTGGACCCATCTGCTCTCTCCACTCACTGCCTGCCTTTTTCAAAAAAATTAATCAACCATTTATGCACTTTTGAAACATCCTTCCCCATCATGGTGCTGCTGGTTGGTCTCTGGGGCCAAGCACAAATTGAAAATATGATGCAGCCCAGGGAATGAGGAGGGAAAACCCTTGTGTGTGTGTGTGCACACATGCAGTGCAGGCTTTTCCACACATAATTCCAGGCTGGTGGGGGCAGCCTGGCAAGACAACCAGGTCTTCAGCACAGTGCTAGTGGGGCATCAGGGTGGCATTTGGCCAGGGCTGTGGAGCCTTGGAGAAAGGGAGTTTGTCCCTGTTGGAGGAGAAGTCAAGGGAAAATGTGTTGCCATGGCAAAAGTAAAGTTTTGCTGTGGCCAGATTTGCTCTGGGATGAGCTTCTCGTTATTTCCACTTGAAAGCCCTGTTTTTCCTGGCAGTTGTGTTGGCATTTCAGCCCCTCAGATTTGCAGAAACCAGCAATTTTCCTCCCCAGCACGGCGGGCTGAGCACCGCTGGGCCTTTGGGCCAGCGCTCGCCAGCTCTGGCACAGGGCGGTGGCAGGGCTTGGCCAGCGTCCTCCCACCTTGTCCCGCGTCCCCTCCTCACCCCCTTGCACAGCAGCACCTTGACCTAATCCATTCACAGAGCCACCTGTCCCTCGGCCCTCCCCTCCTGCATATCCTTCAATCCTCACCACGTTTGCATGTGCATCCCCCGTTTTGGCACTGGCAGACCCCAAGTGCCTCCCTGTGCCACCAGGTCCCCCCTCCCCGCCCCCCCGTTGCACCCTTGCCTTGTCTGTGCTTGGATTCCTTTTGGTTTCGCTGAGATCACTGAACTGCATGTGTTTTTACTGCCTTTTTCCATGCTTCTGCTCTGGCTGTAGGACTTCTTTGTGAACGGTAACTCCAGACAGGTAAGCGAGCCCCCGCAGGAGCCCCCGCGGGGCTGGGAGACTGGGGAGGCACGTGGTGCTCTGAGGGGTTCACGTGTGGCAAAGCGAGGGTTAATTCAGAGAGGTACAGAGATCACCAGGAGGAGCAGCTTGAAAATTGGTGCCAGGGAGGTTGGTGAGTAGAAGATGCCCTCTCTGCTGCCCTCTCTGCTGTCTGGTCAGACATTGAAGCCAATGTCTGAGTCCAGGGGTTGAATTTTCAGATGCGGCTTAACACAGAGAAGCTCCAACTGCTGGCTGGTTTTGCTGGTCAAAACATGGAAATAAATAAACTCATACTATGAGTTGAAGCTCTCTGTTTCATCACAGTCAGTACAGGCAAGGCACACGAGGGCAACAGCTGGTGGTAGGTGACTTGGGGCTCATTTTTTCCACCTGCCACTGCCTTTGCTCTGCATCAGCAGCTGCTTCACTGTCCAGCAGCTTCCCACTTCTCTTAGCATTTTTTTTTCTCATTCAAACCAGAAAAAGAGTAAATGGCAACTTCTGTGCTTACTCTCAACCTGTTCAGTGGCCATGTGCTGGCTCTTCTACACTCACAGACATTTAGTGTGGATCTGTAGCATATGGGACCTTGCAGCTCCAGGTTGTGTTCCTTCAGAAGGATTGAATAGCCAGCTTTTAACTGATTAACCTTACTAAAACATTCGATATGGTAAATTAAAACCGGGGGCAACCTGAACCCCTTCAGCAACCCTGCAAAATTGCTGTGATGGAGATGTGCCTGTTGGCCCGCCGTCGCAATGTGATATGTTCTTAGGCATTGTAGGCAACATATTTAAGCTTCTTAGGAGGTGTAGGTGCTTATGCCACAGCCATTCCTGTTTCAGATCCATTATTTGAGAAGAATTTCACTGAAAGGGCAGCAGATGCTGCAGGTTGTGTTTGCAAGCCTGGGAGCTTCTGGTGGTTGGCTCGCTCGGGAGGACTGAGCTGTGAAGGGCGACTGCAGATGTTCGGAGCAGGGTTGAAGAGCAGGAGTGATGTTGGGTGTGTGCAGCAGCCCGTAATGAAGTGCTCCATGTGAGGATTTAATGAAGTATCACAAATATGCATGCTAAGAAAGTCCGGCTTTATTTACTCAGCAGCGCCTGCGTGTTTGCAGATTTTTAAGTCTTCCCTGTCTGAGAAAATATTTACATTTCTAACCAGTGGCTTCAAAGCCAGCTCTGGTTTATGAAATGACTGAGTGTTTCAGTTAGGGGCGGGGGGTTTTACCCGTAACCCGTGGTGACACTCCTGATTAATGGGAGCCCGCTGTGTGTCACGCTGCTATGTCCTGAGAGTACTAAATGTCTTTTGCTTCTCCGTGGCTTTTCTCAAGGCTATTTTTTTTTTTTCTTGTTACTTTTTGTAGAAGGAAGATGCTATTGATGACACCCTGAGTTCCCGACACAAAGTCAAGGAGCTTTCAGTCATAGATGGCCGGAGAGCTCAGAATTGCAATATCCTCCTCTCCAGGTATGCTTAACTCCTTCTTGCCCTCCAGGGAACATGCTTGATGCCCTACCCTGGGCTGGGGGGTGCTCCTTATCCCCACAGGGGTTTAATGACAGGAGTCAGCATGGGAGTAAAGCCAGTGACACCTGAACCCAGGTATAGCCTTGCGCCCTTCATGCCACGGTGACAGGAGGTGCAGACACACTTAACCCAGTACATGGCCAGTCAGTGTCCCTGGGAAGCCCCGGAGAGGCTGGGCTACCTGGTGAGACTTTGAAGGGGAAGAGAGGGTTTGATTTCACCTCTTGTGTCAGCAGTAGTGTGGCCAGCAGGACCAGGGCAGGGATCATTCCCCTGGACTCAGCACTGGGGAAGCCACCTCTTGAATCCTGGGTTCAGTTTTGGGCCCCTCACTCCAAGAAGGACCTTGAGGGGCTGGAGTTTGTCCAAAGAAGGGCAGTGAAGCTGGTGAGGGGTCTAGAGAATAAGAGTCATGAGAGGCAGCAGAGGGAACTGAGATTGTTTTGCCTGGAAAAAAGCAGGCTTGTGGGAAGCATCCTCGCTCTCAACAACTCCCTGAAAGCAGGTTGGAGTGAGGGGGGGGTTAGTCTCTTCTTCTAAGTAACAAGCGATAGGATAAGAGGAAATGGTCTCAAGTTGCACCAGGGGAGGTTTACATTGAATATTAGGAAAAACTTCTTCACTGGAAGGGTTGTCAAGCCCTGGAAGAAGTTGCCCAGGGCATTAGTGGAGTCCTCATCCCTGGAGGGATTTAAAAGCCATGTAGACATGGTGTTGAGGGACATGGTTTAGTGGTGACCTGGCAGTGCTGGTTGGACTTGATGATCTTAAAGGTCTCTTCCAGCCAAAGCGATTCTGTGATTCCTGCCTTCCTCAGCCTGGGTTTTGCTTGTTCTTTGATGGTTGTTGACGAGGGTCTCTGTCAGGCTGGGGAAAGCGCTGGGTATCAGCAGAGTGTGGGGAGCAGCTCCATCATTCAGCCATGGCCTGGCCCGTGGGGGTGGCCTGTGCCACCCTGGGATTTTGGGAAGGGGACATTCCCTTCTTCCAGCTGCCCAGCCCTGCTGGGATGACAGCCTCCTGCGTGCCCCTCACCAGGCAGGCTCAGCGCTGCTATCAGCAATCTAATTCCATCCCCAACTTGCTGCCAGGGGGATGAAAAGGACTTTTTTTTTGGCAAGATAAACTATGCCAGTAAGACTTAACCTGAGAAAGGAGAAGCCAGGCTGTGGTGGTCTGAAAGGATCAGCCACCAGTGTAGCTACTTGGAAAAAAAAATCCAAACAGCAGCAGAAAATGCCACTTGTTTCTGACTCACACATCAAAAAATAGATCCCAACAGCAGTAAAATATAGCTTCATTCAGAAATATGTGCTCCACTGCCTGGAAGCACGGAAGCGTTTGTGCCACCCAGGACCAATGGGGATGGAGCAGCATCCCTGGCAGGTTGGGCTTGCAGCTGCAGCACCCAAATTCTGTTCTCCTGGGCTGTGGGCTGGTGGAGCCAGTGCCTTGCCTGGGCAGCCTGGCTGGTTCCCTTCCCTGGAAAGCAAGCTGAGGCTGATGCCTGCAAAAAAAAAAAAAACTTCTGGATGGGTAATTTGTGGTACCTGGTGCTTCTTCAGGCTGTCCCAGAGGTGGCCTGGAAGCAGTGGGAGTGATGAGTGCAGCGAGCCATGAGCTGCAGCATTCAGCGATAAAATTGCCGTGTTTATGGCTCTTTCTGCTCTGGGTTGCTTCTGGGGATTTTTGTACTTCCTAGCAGTCCAAAGAAAAAGGATCACGATGAAAGCAGAGTTTAAAGCAGCAGGCAAATGAGTATGTCTGTGGCAGGCAGCTATTAGCAAGTGAAGCCGTGGGGTTTGGGGCACTGCCTGGGCTGCTCCCCGGCGTACTGAGGCTCAGCATAGTCCCGAGTGGGTTTAGGCGTAATTCAGCTGGAGGTTTAAGTGTATAATTGAAAGTTAAGCAACACAAATAGCCCCTTCCCTGGGAAGGGGAGCTGCCCACGCTCTTAACTTCAAAGGCATCTTGCTGTCTTACTGAGTAAAGGTCTTAATTTCATCTCACCAGCAAACCTTTCTCTTCCAAGAAAGCAGTAGCTGGAAACGAGTCGCCAGTATCCCACAAAAAGGGTGACACAGAAGCTGCTGCCTGTCTGCCCTCCTCTTTGGGTCCTTTCCTAGGGGAGAAGCAGGATCAGGCCTGCCCTGCAGGATGGTCCCCAGGCCTCTCATATGGCTTTTCCCATCTTATCCCGCAGCATCAGAGTCCTGCAGGGATGAACGGCTTTGGGGGAGCGGCAGCTTGTGCCAGCTGCTGTTCTGGAGGTACTTTGAGGTGCATCCCATGGTGCTCCTGGGGACTCACAGGCAGAGGGGCCATCCAGGCAGGGCATTTCTTTAGCACTGCAGCAGCAGCAGCCAGATCTGCCCCTTCCTCCATTTCTGCAAGGGACCTCAGTCAGGTTTCTCCAAAGTCCATTTGGGCGATTTACTGTTGGTGTCCAGCACTTAAAAGGAAGGGCAGTGTCAGGACGAAGCCCAAGCATCCTGTTGATGAGCTCAGGTCCAGCCCCTGCATCTCCAGCAGAATCCGTGTGACCTTTGGCAAACCCTTTCAGCTCTACCTGCTCCAGCTGCCCGTTCCTCAGCTGGGCAGAGCAGTGGGTCCCTGGTCCCAGTGTCACAAAGGGACTGGTCTGGTAGGGTGGCTCGCAACAGCTGGGCTGCTGCTCTCCTGCCTCACTCACACAGCCACCTCAGGCACGAGCAGACTTTCACATGTGAGAGGACCTGCAAGTTTGGCCCCTGATTTAGCCCAGACATTTGTAAGCACACCAGGCATTGTCTGGCTTGCAGCATGGAAAGATTACAGCCAGCGAGATACTTTATCTCTCTCTGTAGATTTATTTTTTTGCCTGTTTCCTTGCTTTGGGAGAAATTACTGCGCAGTGAGATCACTGGATTTTCCTCTGGCTTGTAATGCAGCACAAGAATATTTTTAACACTTGTTTTTTTCTTTTTTTCTTTTCTTTTTTGAGAATGCTTTGCCAATATCAGTGCATTATCAGAGTTTTCTCTTTCACCGTGTCCTTGCTTCTTCTCCCTGTGTCCTTGTGTGTGTCTTTAGTGCTGCGTTCTGCAGGATGCAGACGAAGCCCGTACGCCTTCGCTTTCCGCCCGCGCTGGCAGCGAAGGGCTCCTCTGAGTCCTCTCATGTGGCCTGGAGCATTTATCTCAAATGAATGTGGCTTTTCAGGAGGGCGGAATTCGTTTTTCCCCTCCACACTTCTTACGTCCTCAGCGGGACTCTCCAAAAGCCCCGCAAAGCAGCCCCGTGTTGCCAGCCTGGCGAGCTGTCACTTCTCATCAGCGGGCTGCTGGCTTTAAATCCCTGTGACAGCAAGTCCCGTGACCCCCTTCCTCTCAGACGGCTCGCGCTCGACAGCTGCTGCCAACAATGAGAATTATTGTGGTTGTAGATAAGCTTCTAGCTTTCACTGGCCCCTTTCCCATCAAGTTGTCTGAGAAGCTGTTTTCTTCTGGCGCCCCGCGCTTGCTCTCTGCCGATGCCGGGGCGGGCTCTTGTTCTTGGCACTGGGTTTTGATGATTACTGAGAAAAGTTTTTTCAGCCTCCTGGTTTTGTTCTCTTTTGTTTTGTTTTTTTAAATATATTCTATTATCAACTTTGCTTTTCAGTGCACAGGGCTTGCAAAAGTCACCCTCACCTTCCACCACCCTCCTGGAGATGATCACAGTGGAAACTGTGTGCTTTAGGTGTTCACTTTGACCTTGGACAAGGGGTAGCTGCCTTATCTGTTCCCTTCTCCAGGAGTATTTTTGCCTCCCAGGGATCCCACTAATGTCCAAACACAGCCAGCATCTGCTTTTCACGGGGTGAGGACTTGATGTGACATTTGTTGGTGGGCTGAGCTCTCACATTTCTGCTTGAATCTAAAAGGAATTTTCCTTTTGAAAGAAGCAGCTTCATACCCACCTCAGGTCGTGTCCATCCTGGCCACTGCCCTTGTACAGGACAGGTAAGCTGTCCCCAGCACATGACTGCTCATCACTGCAAGCACTAGAGGGGACATCTTCCATGCATCCTGTGTTTGTTCCTTGTGGGGTGCCCTAGCACTTGTCCTGGCTGCTGCTCGGTGCAACCTTTGTGCTTCCTCCCCTGGCTGAGGTAGGATTTTAACTCACTCCTCATTTAACAAACCCTCTCTGGGGGGCTCCCTCTAGCAGGAGGTGAGAGAGGACTGGGTACTGAACGAGAAAGTAGGATCCACCAGCCTTAATAAAGCTCATCCTTCACTTCAAGTCTTGAGAAAAAGATTTCAAACTAAACCGAGCTCTTGCTACCCTGGTCTTAGAGACGAGCACCTTTCCTGCTTCAGCTTCCAAAAGCCAACTCTGCAATCTTAGGTTGCTCCCTATGAAATTTCTTTCATTGAAGAAATGCCAGGATGAAAAAGACCCTCCCCATTTAATTACTGGGAGTGATCAGGTCAGCTTCCAATTGTCTTTTTAACCTGCTGATGAGGTTGACACAAGGTCTCACATCCCACCATAAGATGTGTCTCTGGTTTCAGCTCATTCCTTTGAGCCACATGCAGTGTTTCAGCATCCCTTGGCAGCACTGATCACCGAGATTGGGACAGTGGGTTTCCCTAAAGACACAAAGTGAGTCTTTTCAGCTCTGTGACTTTTCTCTGTATGCAAAAACAGGGGATTTTTTCTTTTTAAACTACTTATTGCATGGCTTCAACCATCACTACAAGCTGGGCAAGGGAGAGAGTATTGGCAGAGTGAGTTGCAGGAGTTTCTGGGCTTTCCCTCTTTTGCATTTAAATTATTTTAGCAACCGCAATGCAGAAATGTGAAGAAAAGTTATGTGTGGTTTTGCAACCAAAGTCATTGCAGGGGGCAGTCGTGGGGAGTGCTGTAGGTGTATTGAACTAATTCATGGCTGCTCTAGCCCACGAGAAGCAGAGGGCATCTATCTATCTATCTATCTGTCTGTCTGTCTCTCTCTGTCACCTCACCTCAGTGCAGGCTGCTGCTGGAGACCAGCCCTGCATTGCTGACTGTGATGCAATGGTCTGCATTGTTAGAAATCCCCAACTTGAGGCTTCAACTTCAATTCCTGTTACATGAAGTAAAGCAGTAAAAAAGTGGAGGGGAGGCTGGTTTCCAGCCTGTTCTATTTTGATGCTCATTGAATTCCCACCCCTCAAGAAAAAAACCCTGCTGGGTTTCCCTCAGGGACGCTGGCACTGCGGGAGCGGCGTTGCCACGGGCAGGAGTTACACATAAAAGTTACGGGGGTTTAATACATGTAAATATACTGCTTGCTTGTTTAAAATACTCTAAAATAGGGGACAACAGCTGTGGTGCAGAAAGGGGGAACAGGCCGGGGAGGGGTTGACCTCTGGTTCGCAGAGGGGCCAGGCTGCTCTGTGCTGTGCCTTGGCAGAGCGTGGTCCTACCACCTTTCTCACACGTCCTTCTTCATAACACACTGTATAGTCCTCTTTGTGATGCTGCTGCTGGCCAGGAGTTGAGCTGTTCCTGTGGCACGGGTGTGTAAGGAAATGCTCCCGAACCTTGTCCGATTGCTGGGCTGGGAATAACTCTCCTTCCCCTCCACCTCCCAGGCTGAAGCTCTCCAACGACGAGATCAAACGAGCCATTTTGACGATGGACGAACAGGAGGACCTCCCAAAAGACATGCTGGAGCAGGTGGGCAACGTGTTTTGTGCTTCTCCACGGTTGCCTCACGCTGAGACCACCCTGTGCAAGGTGCTCAGGACCAAACTGTGGTTTTGAGAAGTGTGTCGGGGCCTCACATCATTTACCAGTGTTTTTATGTTGCAAAACCACCCAGGTGGGCTGGAGCAGCAGGAAAGCAGCTCAGTCGTAGCATCTGCCTCCACGTGCCATGCCTGCGCCTGGGTCTGCTTTGGGACCCCAAGGTTGAGCCATTAGCCCATTTTGTGGCTGCAGCTTGAAGTTTGTTCTCAGTGGGGATTTTTTTCTGAAAGCTTGTGCAGTGTTTGTGCAGTCCTCAAAAAGGGGATCCCATTTTCACCCCCTCTGAATCCCTGTGGAAGCACTTTATTCACCTGTCCTTAGAGCTGAGCTGGTAATTGGACTTTGAGCAGAGACATGGCAAGATTCATTGCCCAAAACTTCCATCTGCCAATACGTAGAGTTGCAGCAAATGACAGTCCCTGACACCTCCTCTGGCAGGGCTGATGTCAAAACCTCCTTGGAGCAGACATAGTTCATCTGTTGTGAAACCAGAGTGATGGCAGGGCAGAAGGAAGAGGTGCTAATGGGATGGAGTAATGGGGGGGAAGGTCACAGGCACAGCAATAATACTTATTTCACAGGTGCCTTGGGGTCACTGTCTGTACATGCTGAAAATATAGGAGGTTCAAGCAAATAAATCAGTTTTGCATCTGAAAAAATTGTGCATGAACCTCCTGTCCATCAGTGTGCTTTCCCTTGTTTAGCTCCTGAAGTTTGTTCCTGAAAAGGGTGACATTGACCTGCTGGAAGAGCACAAGCACGAGCTGGACCGTATGGCCAAGGCTGACAGGTTCCTCTTTGAAATGAGCAGGTTGGTAGCCCAGGGGACACATGTTCTGGCCAGTGGCTGCATGAGCTGGTCACAAGGTGGCTGTTTCATGCAGCCTGGTTGGGAAATAAGCCCCTGCTTGCTGTTTTTCACATCATGAAATGAGTGGACCAAAGGGATGGGAGAGCAAACAAGGTCCAGACACATTTCCCTTCTTATGTCCGTGGAAAAAAGCTCAGTCTGGCACAACTGTGCACAAGACTGCATCATTTGCATCATGGCCCAGGTGGGAAGTGCTGTTTGGATGATAACACAATGCTCTTTTCCCTTCACATGAACATACCGTGGTGAATGCTCAGGACTGGTGTATATAAATTTTGCTGTGTAGATTAGTCCCATTCCACACCTCAAGAATGACTTGTCCCTGGGGCTCCTGAGAATATGTGAGCTGGAAAGGGAATGTCATTTCTTCCTGCTCTTGGTAGCAATCATTTAAGGCTTAGAAGTCTTCAGGGAGGAATAACCTTATCTTTTGCATGCACATCCTCTAGAAGTGCTGGTTTAAAATCTTGAAGCTCCTTATTTAAATCCAACTGAGTGTTGAGCTCTTTCAGTTTCTTCGCTGAACTTCAAGCAAGTCACTTGTTTGCAAAGTCAGTGAGTTTGACAATCTGCGATCTCACTGGGAGATCAGAAATAGAAACACTTCTGTCCTCGCTGAGAAACGCATCGACGAACACCAGGGTGATGCACCGTGGACTTGCTGAGCATCAGAGGCAGGCAGGGCAGAGCTGTGAAGTTCAAACCTGAGCCCTGGAGGCTGGAAGATGCTCAGAATTACTTTTCCTATCACAGGCCACCTTTCTTCTTCATAGTCCCTTGCCCAAGTGTTGCTTCCGTGCCTCCATCTTTTGGAAGGCACAACATGCCAATGCAAATGTTTCCCTTGGTTTCCAGCACAGCTTTTTAATTTGCCCTGTGGTCTGGAACTGAGTGTGATGTCTTTGTCACTTCTGATTAGTGCAACAGCAGCGTAGCTCGTGGCCTTGTCTGTGAGCACATCTCCCATGGGTCCTTGGTCAGAATGACTCAAATCACACGGCTGTTTGCATACAAGTGAGATCTTGTTCAGCCTAAATACAACTGACATGAGCAGAGCTGTACCTAACTTGACCAGGAAGGGGCTGGACTATGTTGTTGGCTTTCCAGCCAAGGCCATCATTTTGAGGATGGTAGAATCATAGAATGGTTTGGATTGGAAAGGGCCTTTAAAGGTCATCTAATCCAACCCCCCAGCACTGAGAAGGGACATCTGCAATTAGAGCAGGTTGCTCAGAGTCCTGGCCAACCTCACCTTGAAAGTTTCCACAGACGGGGCTTCTACCACCTCTCTGGGCAACCTGGGTCACTGTTTCACCACCCTCAGCATCAAAATTTCTTCTTTATATCTAGCATGAATCTCCCCTCTTTTAGTTTAAAGCTATCACCCCTTGTCCTGTCACAACAGGCCCTGCTAAAAAGATTGTCCCCATCTTTCTTTTAGGCCTCTTTTAAGTGCTGAAAGGCCACCAGAAGGTCTCTCTGGCGCCTTCTCTTCTCCAGGCTGAACAACCCCAAGTCTCTCAGCCTGTCCTCATAGCAGAAGTGTTCCAGCCCTTGGATCATTTCTGTGGCCTCCTCTGGACCTGCCCCAGCAGGTTCTGAAGGTCCAGTTTCATTAGCCCTGGTAGCTGGTGTGCCTGTGTCCTGCTGCAGCTCATCCCAAAGCCATTGGGAGTCCAGACCTCATCAGCAACTTTGTTCAGGTGTGGTTGTAAAAGAGCTGTTTTTTCATGGCAATAGGGTGTAAAAATGCTCTTGTTGAACACGCTGAGTTAAGGATCAGCTTCAGCATGTGGTTAAGAGCCCACCTGGGTCCACCCCAGGACAGCTGGAGCTTCGGTTGTGGTTTATTCCCATCCCAGCATAGTTTAAGGGAGAAATGCAGTCACTCTGTTTTAATCACCATGGCTCAAGTGTGCTTTGTAAGCTCAGCTGTGAGCAGCAGAGCCCCTGAGCTCTGCCTGGAGCAGGCAAAGCTCAACCTGCACCTCTTGGGGTTTTTTTCCAGGATAAACCATTATCAGCAAAGGCTACAGTCGCTCTACTTCAAGAAGAAGTTTGCAGAAAGAGTTGCAGAAGTTAAACCCAAGGTGGAAGGCAAGTGACTGAACCTTCTAAGGGGCTCTGTGCCAACAAAGGGAGGGCTCACAGGAAGAGCCTGCTCCACGTGGAGGTTGCAGTGAGGGAGCTGGTGGTCACTCTTTGGCCATGGGGGCACTGAAGGGGTTGCTGCAAGAAAAGGGGACCGGTATGGTGTGGTGGCAGGGGGTGATGTCCCACGCTCTCTGCTTTCAGCCATCCGTGCGGGCTCCAAGGCGGTGCTGCAGAGCAGCAGCCTCCAGCAGCTGCTGGAGGTGGTCCTGGCCTTTGGGAACTACATGAACAAGGGCCAGAGGGGCAATGCCTTCGGGTTCAAGATCTCCAGCCTCAACAAGATCGCGGACACCAAGTCCAGCATTGACAAGTGAGCAGTCCCTGCCCTCATCCTCGGTAGCGTGCACAGGTCCCAGGGGTGCTGGGGGAACAGAGGGACCATTAGTGTTGTCTCTGGGACATGGGTAGGTGGGAGCAGTCCCTTCTCATCTTGTGCCCCATCTGGAGTATCCAGTGATGCAAGTGCCTGTTTTTTGTCCAGGACAGATTTTGAGGGAAACTGAGCTGCAGGTCAGCACAGGGATGGATGGGGGCTTTCCTTCCTAGGCTGGCTAAACAGCAGCCAAGGCTGATTAGGAGGATCATCCTCCAAATGCTTTTTTCCTCCTTTGAGAAGCCAAAAGTCATCGTACTGTGATGCAGTGGCCAGAGGAGAGGTCCCAGGGGCTCCTCTCCACAGGAACCCCCTCTGCAGCCCCCCCCCAAGCTGTCGCAGACATCTCCTGGTTTGCTCTTCCCCCCCTGAGCTCTGTGCACAGTGAAAGGAGCTACATCAGGTCTCAAACCTGCCTGGTCTCACCCATCATTAAAGGCACTGGAGGACAGGAGTGATGACGCTCAGGTCACCTCCCCTGGGTCCCTCCTGTGGAGAGCCCTTTCTTGCAGGGAGCAGGCTGGACTGCACTGTGGCTCTGCATGGGACAAACCTGTCCCATGTCCCCAGACAGGCAGCGAGCAGCATCCTTGCAGAAATCACAAAATTGTTCATTACAAGGGTTGGGATTTAATCAGGGTTTTCGACTGAGCTCTCATGCCCCCGTGGTGCCACCATGCTGACTTTGCCACTCCTCTCTTCTAGGAACATCACTCTTCTGCACTATCTCATCACTATCGTCGAAAAGAAATATCCCAAAGTCCTGCGCCTGCACGAGGAGCTGCGAGACATCCCACAGGCAGCCAAAGTCAAGTAAGCAGGAGTTAGGTGGTGCTGCTCAGGGGATGCCAGGAGTGCTTCTTCCTTTCCTTCAGCCTGCCTTTTTCCATCACCCTGCCCTGCTCACACTCCCAGCCAGGTCCTGGCCACCAGGCTGGGCCTTGTGCTGTGGCCACTGAGAGCATCTTGGAGGCAGGAGCAACCATCACCTGGTGGCTTTAAATCTCAGCCCCTCCAACGGTGAGGGAGGAGAGCTGCTTGGAGCAGCCATTTCCTGTTGTTATCTCACCACAGAAGCATTTAATTAATTTCTAATGGTAGGTTAAGTAATCCGGGAGGAAGTGGTTGTGGTGTGGCTGCAGATAAAGGGCAGCAGTTTGTCTGCTGCAGTGGAGAGGCTTGGCATAGAGCACGGGCAGGACCAGGCAGCGGTGCGAGTGGCTCACCTGCCTCTGGGTCCTGCCTGGCCCTTGTGTCACCACCAACATGGAGCCTCTGGTGTCTGCAAGGAGCTTCAAAACCCTTCCCAGCTCCTGGTGACCTGTTCAGAGCAGGCTGCTGCTGTGTCTTTGTTGGTGGAGGCCCCCGTTCAACAAAGCCCTTAAACACAAGTTGAACTTTTAAGTGCAGGAGGAATCTGCTGTTGTGCTTCAAAGCCCTCAAGTATGTGCTGGAGTCCCTCTGAGATCAATGAGGCTCTGTTTCAGTCTTAAAGTTCAATGGGAGCTTACAGGCTTTGCTGCTGCTGGGACCTGGGCAGCAAAGATCACACATTTCTGCAGTCAGCACACATTCATGTGAGCCATGGACATGAAAAGGGCCTGAAATTGCACCTTTTTAGAGAGAAGATGGCAAATACACATTAATTTTATGATAGTTCAAGGGTCTTTCAAGTTTCAAAGTGCTCTTGTAGCAATAGTGGCTTCCCCATGGGAGATCTGTCATGTGCAAAGTGAGCATCCCTGCATTTAGAACATGAAATAATTGTCAGCCATAGGGATTAAACAAAGTGACAGGACAAATCTTGGGGTGTGAGGAGGAGTATGTGGTGTCTGCCATCAGGCACTGTCTGAGAACATGATTGAGCAGAGCATGCTCCTTGCTAGTGGAGGTTCCAGCTTTCTCAAGCTTGTGTATCTGCAGCTATTGTACAGATACATGTGTGGGAAAGAAAATGTCTGCACAGAGGGCTTTGTTTTCCCCCCTAAACTTTATCATTTTGCTTTAAACTGGACACTGTATGTAATATTTGGGTTTGGTCCAATCTAGAGTGAAACCAAAAAGTTTCTAAAGCTCTGGAAAACCTTGAACTCCCCCAGCCCTGCAGCTGTGAAGCAAAATCACTGCCTCTGTCAATCCCACCACTGGTAATGAACTGCTGGAGCACAGGGCTCCCAAAACTGCATTTTCCCAGACTAAACCTGCCAGGAACGCTTGCCCCATGACCCAGCATCAGTGTTTCCAGGGACCCCAGCTGTAGGACAGACACCCCTGGAAAGACGTCAAGCCCGTGGTCATCCAGTCTCTGTGAGAAAGCTTCCTCTCAGTTGGAGTGGTGGTAACCCGTGAGCACTTGAACTCGAAGCTCATCGGGGGCTTGAGCCTTGTGTAAACAAAGTCAGTGCCAGACATGGTGATTTATTTTTATTTCTCTATATTTGGGTTGTCTCCCCTTATGAAAGCCTCACTGCTAGGAAGGATGCTTTGCATGGCATTCACCTAACCATGGTATCCTTGAAAAGTCCTGTACACAGGGACAAGCCTACCTTGTGCTGGCCCTCAAGAGGGGAAGAGAAATCTGGGCCCAGCAGAGCCCTCTCCTGAGCAAGCCTTTTGCTCAGAGAGGTCTGGAGGCTGCTGAGCTTGCCTAAGCCTGCACAGTGCCTTGATCCACAGTACAGAAAAGTGCTTTGCTTTAAAACAAGCAACTGCGGCCGCTCTGAGACAGGCAGCTGTCCTGGCTTGGAGCCTGCCAGCCCCACTTGCTGCTCAAGACATACTGCTCTGCAAACAGGAGGCAATGTGTGCACCTCTGGGGTCTTTCCAGTGGAAAAACACAGTCGAGTTTTTAGAGAGCTGTAGAATTTGCTGGGGAAGGCTGAAAATTCACATCCTGCCATTTCCAACAGCATGACCGAGCTGGAGAAGGAAATAAACACTCTGAGGAGCGGCCTGAGAGCAGTGGAGACTGTAAGTATTATTTAAATCAAATCTAGTCCAGCCTGGCTCTGAGCACTGCAGCACCCCTCCTTAGGGAGGCAGACAAGGGAGCTCCCAGCAAAGCTGCTTTTATCTCACTTCCTGGAGATCTGTCTTCCCTTCCTGCCCTGCACATGCGCCTGTCCTCCTAGGGCTGTTCTGGCACTGAAGCTGCTGCACGTGCATGGTTTCTATCTAGTACACCAAGGGAGGCCGAGGAAGTCCAGTGAGGGTGCCCGTGGAGGACCTCTGATGTGCTGAGGGGTCTCCCTTTGGCTGTAAACCGGCAGAGGGGAGGGACTGGTGAGCACTTCTGCAGCCCAGCTGAAGTGGTGATGAAATGGTGGAGGAATCCCAAAGGACTCACTGTCTTGCTAGGTTATGCTGCTTCCACATTCTCTCCTGCAGGATTTGGCCTTAAAAGCATCTTGCAGGCATGATAGTGTGAAAGGGGATAATCTGCAGCCTCGGGCATGGCAAGAGGGAGCAGTGGTGGCAGTGCAGCCAGTACCTGTGGCACACACCCAGCGGCACTACATGGGGCCCATGATGTTTGTGTCCCTCATCAGCCAGGCCCTGATTAGATTTACTTTTTTTTTTTTTTTCCCCAAAGGAACTGGACTTCCAGAAGTCTCAGGTTCAGCAAGCAGGTGACAAGTTTGTGTCTGTCGTCAGCCAGTTCATCACGTTAGCCAGCTTCAGCTTCTCGGACGTCGAAGATCTCCTGATGGAGGCGAAAGAGCTGGTAAGGTCACCAACATCCTCAAGAGCTGGGTAGCATTTCAGCCTTTCCTCCAGCCAACAGGGGAGGGGTGGTCCTGGCCTTTACAGAGCACAATTTGTGTGTGAACATCTCTGATACTTCCCCTATGAGATCATGTGAGTGTCTTGTTGAGACCCTGACATGAGAAGGGTGCTGGGCTGCTCTTCCTGGTTTGTTTGGAGGGGGTGAGTGAGTATGTCTCTTCCTGTCCCCAGGGTCTTTTTCCTGCTCCACAACCCAGCATGCCAGGGCATCATAGGTCAGGCCAACAGACTGCTTCTGGGATGCAAAATGTGCTGAAGAACACCACAAGATACCCATCTGTGTTTTGAAAGTGCAAGGCAGGGGCTCGCCATGGGAGAGTTGTGTCCCTGAGGGAAGGAGATGATAGGTCATTTGTGAGGACCTGAGTTTTGGTGAAGAGCTTTCATTCAACTAAAGGGCTTGCTTTGCTTTCCATGTCTCAAAATGGAAATACACCAGTTTTGGTGGCTTTAGAGTTAGTGTGGCAGCTGGGGCATCATGAAGGCTGAAGAAAGCAGGCTGTTTTGTCTGATGTTAATGGAAGAGGAGGAAAAAATGCAACCAAGTGTTCAGGCTGGACGTGAGGTCACCCAGAGGCTGATGTCAGAGATATCCCAGGCTGCCCAAATGACCCTACTTCTATAGGGGAAAATAACACTCAGTGCGTAGCTTCGGTCTGAGACCTGCCCAGCTCTTCTCTCCAGAGGAGAGGAGCTCAGTGACATGAATTGAGGCAAACTTCAGACCTGGTTAGAGAAGCTGTTTAAAAGGTTCTCCTTCCCCAGAGTAGCCTCTTGGTGAGTGCTTTGCAGCCACCAGCAAGGGCTGTTGTCCTTTCTCCCTAGTACGCTGCTGTAAATCACAGCAAAAGGGTGGCCGTTGGCTGACATCTGTGATTCACACACCTTCTGCTTTCCCTCCTTCAGCAAAGGGGCACACAGCTGGTTTCCATTTCCTCCAAGGACCTCACCCAGTATTCTCTCCTTGGCCTGGCCTTTATCTTGACTGAAGTGGCAAGGTGATAGTCCAGCACAGTCTGTTTTAGAGGACCTGTCCTTGTCCAACTGCATGAGCTACCTCTCCAAAGACAGAAATTACCAAGTGTCACCACTTCCTTCTCCCTGGTTGTACCAATGTCCAGTTGGCACTGTCCTTCAGGCCATCCACCTATGCTTGGGCCATATGACTGACCATAGCCTTCCTGAGGCCATGGCTGACCCAGGCCACCCTTTTAATCTGTTGATGGTAACCTGGCAGGTCTTCCTGCAGTGAGATTGGACTGTGGAGATGGTGACAGATGCTCTGCAAACTGTATCATCTTCTGCTGATCTGGCTGAATCTGGAGGAGAAGGTCTAATTGTGGTTCCCCAGCACACATCAAAGTCCACTCTGAAGCAATGTGCAGCTCTTCCCATGGTTATTGGAGAGGGTGGATTTGCTTTTCAAACATCTCCAGATTGAAATTGTGTTACTGCTTTCTCTTAGGAAAGCTGAAACATCATTGTTTTATAAACTCTGTATCCTATGAGGAGAACATTTTCAGCCTTTCCTCCCCCACTGGAATCTCCTCTGCCATGGCAGAGCATTTAATATCTTGATGAAAATCAACAAGAATAACCTCAATTATTTTGACTTATATAGTGGCACCTTTCAGATGCCTCCCTGCATCTTGAAGTTCTAACTCTGTTAAGTAAACAAAGAAATAAAAGTGCCCTAAATGTCTTTTGAAGAGCCTGGGGCACCCTTGCAAATGAAACTAAATCATACAGGCAGGCTTTAAAGATGTTCCTCTCGGTCTACCCAGCAAAATTAAAGCAACTAATAAATCTGTTTGTGCTTTGATTTTGTTTTCCTTTTCTTTTAAGCGTGCTTATCTCCAGAACACGCCATCACAATTTTAACAAACTTTGTGTGCACAAAGAGTCTCCTTCAAACTGGAAGTGACAGCAAAGGATGTCAGTCCCAAGGACGATTCACAGGCTCCTTGAGGGCTGGGAGACATGGGCAGACATGGATGTCCTGTTCTGACCTACGGCCTCGCTCGCCTCCCTCACATTAATGGTGTGCAAGCAGCACAAAAGGCCGGAAAACTCCCTGTTTCCCCACGCAGGGCTGTGCTCGAGCCCGGGCCGAAATGTGTTTTAGAAGTTTCACCAACACATTTGGTTTCAATAGCAGAGCATGTGGCAATGATAAATAATACCCCAAAAATACTTCAAAGGAAAACTTAAAAGTGTGAGTTTCCCTTCCCCTGCTGTGTTTACTATTAGTTTTATGTCTTCGGCCTTCAGTCCCACAATATTTTGCTTCCTTGTTTTTACTGCTGCTTAGTTAATAAAGTCGAGCTGGGGCAGGAGGAGGCTCAGCAGAGCCAGAGGCAAGACGGGGAGAGTGGGCTCAGGAGCAACCCAGGTCGGCTCTTACAGAGCAGAAGGTAAAATGTCAGATGATTTATCTCATGCTTAAGTCCAGGCTTGGTGGAACAAGGCCCTGTTCTCCACCGTGGCCACTGGAAGTGTTTCTGTTCACTCTGTCATATCAAAGGCTTCCCATGGCGGGGCTTTGCCAGGGAGGTGAGTATCTCCAAAACTGACAGACCCCTGCTTTCTCTCTCCCAGTTTTCCAAGGCTGTGAAGCACTTTGGAGAAGACACAGACAAAATGCAGCCTGACGAGTTCTTCGGCATCTTTGACCAGTTCCTTCAAGCTGTGACGGAGGCCAAGCAGGAAAACGAGAACATGAGGAGGAGGAAGGAGGAGGAAGAGCGCCGGGCGCGCATGGAGGCACAGGTGAGTGGGCGCTGTCGAGTCCAGCCGCGCCTCCGGGGTACCCAGGGATGGCAGCTGTGCCGTGCTGGCCCCATGGTGGCCACGGTGGCACACAGAGCACGAAAGACTGGTCAAGGAGCTTCTGTGCTCTTAGACCCATAGTCTTTTCACTGTTGATTGCTTAATGAACCAATGACCTAGGGTTGGTGAGATCTTGGAGATAAAATACACAGCAGCACTGGTGCTACCTGTGGGCTGCTGTGACCCACCAGCAGCAGCCATGGGGCTGCGGACCTCAGCCTGTGGGCTGTATCAGTAACCCCGCGCAGCTCTTGCGTGCTAAGCACTGGGGTGGGAAACCGCTCTCGCTCAATGAGTTTGGGGGTCACCGTGCGGGCGTCGAGCACGCTACAGCCACCCGCGTGAGAGTGAGATGTCTCCTTTCCTCCATGGCACCTAGCTGAAGGAGCAGCGGGAGCGGGAGCGGGAGCGCAAGGCGAGGAAGGCGAAGGAGAGCGGGGAGGAGGGCGGCGAGTTCGACGACCTGGTCTCAGCCCTGCGCTCGGGCGAAGTCTTCGACAAGGACCTCTCCAAACTGAAGCGCAACCGCAAGCGCATTGCCAACCAGCTGGCCGACAGCGGCCGCGAGAGGCCCATCACCAAGCTCAACTTCTGAAAACTAAACAGCGAAACCCAGCAAAGAAAGGCGGGTTAGTCTTTGTGCAGTGACTGGCGGGGGCTATCCCCATTCCTCTGCCTTGCGATCCCAAGCAAACAGTGGCACGCTCCTTCTCCCCGCGGGCGAGTGCGTGTGTGTATATGCTGTGTACATAGTCGGGTCCGGGGCACAGATGGAGGTGCGTGGGCAGTCCACCTCGCTGGGTGCCGGAGCTGCCTCCTCCCCTCCAACCCACTCCGAAAAGTAGTTCTCCCCATGCACAAGCACAATGCTGCCTCCACGGAGCGAGAGAGGACCCAACCCTGTGACGCTGGCAGTCCCCATGGGCCCCAAAGGCAGCAGGAAGCCGCTTCCCACCGTTCTGCTTGGACCCCCCCCAGCTGTTGGCAGGGGATGCCTTGCACACGAGCCGAGCGGTTTAAAGAAGAAAAGTTAAAAGACTAAGTTGACTGGACTTGAATACGTTGGTTGTGGTTTTTTTTTCTCGTTGTTGTGATTATTCCAAAAAAACTCTCAGATCCATGCTTTGGTGCCGGTTCCCGAGCTCGGCGCCGCGGGCGCTCCTGGCCGTGCTCTTCCCCTTGTCCTTGGGAAACGTTCTTTTGCCTCTTACCACCTCCTTGCTAAAGGAAAAAGTTCACCCCAAAGTGCTTGTCGCTCAAACGCCGCACAGATGTATTTATACTTTTCTAACATTTTCTGGCCCAAGACGGTGGGAAAGGTCGGTTCTCGGAGGAGACGAAGAGCATGAACTTTTGAGTTGTAGTTTTTATTCTTGCTTTCTGTTCAATGGGACAAACTGTATCCTCTGTAAAGGTGGGTCAGGACCGAAGGTCCCTCATACACAAAGGGGCTGGTGCGAAACCCACCGACTTTCACCCACCTTCTTTTCCTTTTTCTTTGTCGGACACACAGAAGCAGCGATGCCAAGAAACGCTCGTCTCTTAGCCAGGTCCTTTTTCAACTGGTTTGCTGTTTGTTGTCATTGCAAATTTGTAAGCAGAACTACCTGTCAAATGTCAGTCCAAAAAAAAAGACAAAAAAAATACAATAAAAATAATTCAAAGCTCTCAGGGAGTAATAATTTAATGGCTTAGAAAATTAAGAATTGGAGAATAAAAAGTAACCACCATTAACATATTAACATTTCTATTCTTAAATTATGCTGAGTATATAGAGGACTGTTACTTTTTACTTTTATTTATTTGTGGTGTGTTTTTTAAGAAAACAAAACCTTTTTATACCACCAATACTTTTATGATCCTTTTTTTGTTTGTTTGTTTGTTCTTTTTCCTGTGGAGAGATGAGTTTGTCCCTGTTGCACTAGATATTAACACTATTTGAAATAAGGTTGGTTGTTTTGGGGTTTTTTTGTCAGATAATCCGTATTACTGGTGGGGTATGGGATGTCAGTTCACTATTTGTACTGTATAGCAAAAGTGCTGTTTAATTTGTATTAAAAAAAAAAATGGTTCTAAGCACCTGAAGGCCACGGGGTCTGCGTGCTGAGTGAAAGCTGTGAAATCTCTCTCTAACCAGAGTTGTCAAGAGCTATGGTTTTACCATTTTGTTGTTTTCTTCATTGCAACTTTTGACGCACTGTAGATTAAAAAAAAAAAAAAAAGAAAAAGAAAAAAAAAGACTTTCTGAGTAGCATTTAAAGCAGTAATAAATAAAGCAGGTAAGCGCAAAAAAAAAAGAGTCCAGCACCTGGTATCCAAGCAGCTGCAAAACCTGCAGATTATGTTCAAAGGTGGAGTTAAGCACTTTGCTTTAAGAAGGAGGGGGAAATAACGACAAAAGGTAATGATAACACTATTCCTTAACTAAAGTGCCTCTATTTATATTTTTTATTTATGGCTTAAAAAATGGGGCTGATACAATTGAGGGAACGGACTTTGGGGGGAATTTGAAATACATAAAAAAAAAAGAAGAAAAAGAAAAAGGGTAAAAAAAGAAAAAAAGTCTGGCCTCTGATGGTTTAAGGAATGGTTGGTCACATGTGTTTAATTTGAAAGGTGGGGGGAGTCGGAGAGGGCGATTGCCTCCCGAGGTGCCTGGGTGCTCAGCCACCAGCACCCAGCCTGGCTCCTGCCTCCGCGACCCCAGTGCCACATCAGGACCTTTCCTGGCAGATTTCCTCTTGCCCTTCCAAATCTATTTGGTTCTTTTTTTTGTTTTTTTTTTAAATTGTTTTACAACAGCCTTGTTGTCTGGCTGAGTTTGCCATTTCTTTGGGTCTTTTTTCCAAAAAGAAAAATTAAAAAAGAAAAAATATTTTATCTCTATAAATAAATACAAAGGTTGTGTGCAGGTAATTCCATGTGCCATTGTCGAAAACTACTTTTAGATTGGTGCTGGTGTAAGTAGCCACTCTTTTCTTCTGGGTGTGTATTTTAAAGATGATTTTTTTTTTTTAATAATGCCAAAAAGGAAAAAAAAAATCCATAATAATTTGTAAACTGAAACTTATGTCTTGGACCTTATTAGCTTCGTAGTGGCCAAGGTAGTCTGTTAGATGCAAGGATGTTAGTAGTGTTAGCTAGCAGGAAATGCTGTGTAATGTTCTGAGACTGTACATTTTCTAAGATGGCAATATGCAATAAAGAAAAACAATTTCAGTGAGTGTACATGGCAGAGCCACGAGTTATTTTTTGGGGGTAAAAGAAGGGATATTTGGGGATTGAGGCAAGCGTTGAAGAAAAGGCCCTCTGCAGGTTGCTCTTTTTTGGGTGTATTTGCAGTCATTGCTGGGGTTTGGGGTAACCCCATTTCAGGACTTTCCTGCGTGCTGGGTTTTAGGTGGTCAGGGGAGTTTTCACCCTCGTGGCTCGCAACATCCTCATGGTTGCCCACCTGTGGATTTCTATTTATATCCCATGGCTGGTGTTTCCTACCATGAATATTTATGACCCAGCATGGGTCAGGTTTGGGCTGGTGGGGAGCACAGGACGATGGTGAAGAGCACAGCTCCCTTGGAGTGCCTGGCAGTTGGATGGGCTGTGATGCCATTGCAAAACCAGCCCCGGTCTGTGAAGTGAAAGGACCCAAGCAAAAAAGGGAGTCAGAATCAGAATGGTTTAGGTTGGAAGGGACATTTAAAGGTCATCCAGTCCAACCCCCCAGCACTGAGCAGGGACATCTGCAACTAGAGCAGGTTGCTCAGAGCCCCGGCCAACCTCACCTGGAATGGTTCCAGAGATGGAGCATTGACCGCCTCTCTGGGCAACCTGGGACAGTGTTTCACCACCCTCAGCATCAAAAATTTCCTCCTATCTAGTTCAAGTCTCCCCTCTTTCAGGTTAAAACCATCACCCTTTGTCCTGTTGCAAAACGCCCTGCTGAAAGGGTTGTCCCCATCTTTCTTTTAGGCCCCTTGAAGTCCTGGGAGGCCACCAGGAGGTCTCCCCGGAGCCTTCACCTCTGCAGCTGCCCCAGCCCAAGTCTCTCCTGCTGGGCTCCCAGAAGAGGGGTTCCCCCCTCGGGGCATTGCTGGGGCTCCTCTGGCCTCGCCCCAGCAGGTCCCTGTCTCTGCTGTGCTGAGGACTCCAGAGCTGCCCCAGCACTGCAGGGGGGTCTCTCCATAGCAGGGCAGAGGGGCAGGATCCCCTCCCTGACCTGCTGGGGATGCTGCTTTGCATGCAGCCCAGAATATGGTGGTTGGCCTTCTGAGCTGCAAGTTCACATTGTCAGCTCAGGTCCAGCTTTTCAGCCACCAGTACCCCCACGTCCTTCTCCACATGTATTGATACCAGAGGTTGCCCTGATCCATGTGCAGGACCTTGCACTTGGCCGTGCTGAACCTCATGGGGTTCACATGGGCCCACTTCTCTAGCTTGTCCAGATCTTCAGATGCTCTTCCCTTCATAAACCCCCATGTCCTCAGCACGGGGCTGCTCTGGGGTGTATCCACAAATGGACATGAACAAGCCAGCTAAACACTTACAACTTGATGAGAGCCTGAAATTCTGGTTAATGGCAGACTGCAGATTTCCAGGGCCACACCAGTGTGTGACACAGGACAGTCCCCAGGATGGGGACCAGATGGTGGTGGAGACGTGAGCAAGGACAGGGCATAGCTTTTTATTCAACCAGCGTATTTGAGGTGGATAAAAATGTGGTTCCTAGCCTGCAAATCCTTCCTCAGGGCTGAAGTAGCAGCATCTGTGACTTGAAAACAAATTTGAGATAGAGGGTTTGTCACCCCAGAGAAAAGGGCATGGGTGCTGTGCTGAACTGCCACGGCTGTACTGTGTGCCCCCATGTCACCAGCAGCTCATGAGCACTGAGGGCCCGGATGAATGAGTTTTCACCTGAAAAAGGGCTCCTGTGCCCCAGATCCTGGCTGCTCCCTCCAGTTAAATCCATGAGTGTGCTGGATGGGCCAGACTTGCCCAGACCCGCCGGTGCCAGGGGAGCTGCTGGGCGTGGCACTCCCAGAGGAATTGCCCCATGGGGCCACCTGGCTCGGTGTCACCAGACCTGCCGAGCCAGCCCGGCCTGTGCTCCGCTGTGGCCTTTCCCCGGTGCCCAAGGCTGGGGCGAGCGGGAGTCCCACCGGAGCGAGGAGTGGCGGGTGTCATCTCCTGTGCTCCACTTGCTACCCTTGGCATCACACCCCACCTTGGAAAAGATGAGTCAAGAGATGGGGGCGATGACCTGAGGTAGCCGTATCACTGCATGCAGAGCTGGGCTCAGCAAGTCGGGCAGGCACGGCTCGACGGGGAAACTCCGGCAGCCCTGCTGCTCTGGAGCCCCTGGCAAGAGGTCACAGGGTGTCGGGTTGGCAGCAGCTCACTGGACTTCGTGTACAAAAATATTTATTTACTCCCAAGGGAGGGTACGATGGGATCAAAGGTTCTTTTAGACTCTGACGTCCCTCCTGGAGACCCTCAGGAAAGCATAAGGGAAGTAGGGACATTATCAGTCCTGCTCCCGCCCATGTTGCAGCTGGACCTGGATCCATCCCCAATGCCAGTGCCTAAGTCTCAACTCAA